TTAATAAAATAATTAAAATATTAATTATAGTTTGATTAATTATAAATTGACATATGAACTAAATTGTAATATATTAAAAGATCTAAATTTGCAATCAATATATTATTTTTTAAAAGTAATTGAAAAAACTGTACCGACCAATCTATATAAAAAAGTATTATTTATTTATATATTTTTGTAAATATATTATTTTATAAATCAAAATAAAAATGTTGGATAACAATATTAATGTGCACTTTTCATATTATTAACGTGCAATTTAATTATCGTTAATATGCAATTTACATATTATTGATGTGCAAGTATTAAAATTTTCATAAATTATAAATTTGACCTTTGAATTAAATTGAAATATATTAAAATTTATAAAATTGCAAGTTAGACCTTTAAACATATCAAATTTTCAAAATGATGCCCTAAATTCTACAATGCAAATCCCGTTCATTTTAGGCCTCTCTGCCGGCGACGGATGTCGGGACTGTGGCGGCGATGGGCTTAATGACGGCGGGCGAGGTCCGGCGCGGCAGACGGGTGTTGGTTCACGCCGCCGGCGACCTGCAATGTATCCGGTGCTTGCCGTGGCTGAGATGCCGTGGGCCGATGCGGTGCTTGCAGGTGGCGACATGGTGGATGTTGTCAGCGGCGATGTTAGAGGCGTGGTTGGTGGCGGCGGCGGGCTGGTCTGGTTGCTGCGACTGGAAGAACGTGGCGGACGGCGGAGGCGGAGGCGGATGGTGGTGGCGAGACTGCTGTGACCGGACGGCTGAGGCGAAGCGGCGGACTGGTGGAGGAAGGCGGAGGCGAGGTGGAGGCTTGTTGACAGCGGCGATTGCTGTGGCCGTCGGGAATTCACCGTCGGCTCTGGACGGGTTGCCGGATTCGGAGGACGACGACGGCACTGTCGGCGGCCGCGACATGACAGGCGGGATTGTTGCGGTGGTGGGTGTGTCTGCGGCCGGAATGAGAGCTGCCGGCGGGTGGCCGGACTGTTAGATCTGTGTGTGTTGTGTGAGTACGAGTGTGAGAGTCTGAGAGCGAGAGGTAGATAGCGGGAGAGAGGAGAGAGGAGAGAGAGTAGAGTAGAGAGGAGAGATGAGAGAGGAGATGAATCGTTGGCAATATTGATGGTGGGGCCCACTTATTTGATTAGTTATTGAAATCACATAACTGCCCTTGTAGTTTATAATTTGTCCATGACATATTAATATATTTACAAATATGCCACTGCTGGTTTGACCATGATAATTAATTTTGACTTCATCATGTCCATTGATCGTACCTATCCAATAGTCTGTAATCATTCTTATTTCTTTCACTATCTACCATTCTCATGTGATCCCATCCCTATATATATAGAGAGAGAGAGAGAAAGAGAGAGAAATATGTAAACAAAATGTCTAAACAATTTGCTTAAAATATCTAAAATATTATAAGCCTAATTTAATAAAGACATTTAGATGGTACCGAATTTATGGTGTTACTTCCATCTAACAAAATTTGATTACACACAATTTCAAAATTATTATTATACTTTTTACATTGTTTTCGAGGATGAGTTTATAATATTTGTAAAAATCTATATATATATAATTACTAGCTAATAGAATTTAATAAAACCTATTTAATTTTACCTATGTGGCAATTTAACAATTTTCCCTCCAAAAACCGTTACATTTTGATGTATTTAATCTTCCATTTAATCATTAAATGATTCATACTCATCACTTCAAAATTACAAAAATCATTTTAAACTTTTGATTAATGACAGTTGACCATATAATGTGTTGGCCGTATAATGTGATTAGATGTTATTATTGTTGTTACATTTAATTTTTTTTAAATAAAAATATATTTGAAATTCCTAAATAAATAATAAATAATTCACAAATAAAAGACGTACCAAAATATACATTACATCCAATCAGATAAACGCAATTTAAAAAAAAAAATATTCCAACTCTTTTAATTGTAAATTTGGTCTGCAAAAAAGTGAAAGAAAAATAATTAATCATTATATGTACAGACTCACAATAATTTATTTATATCACAATAATTTATTTATATCTGTGCAAATGCACAGGTCGAATACTAGTATTAGTAATTAGACCAATGAAAATTAGCAGCGTCGTCGTCGTATTTTATTTTTTTTAAATAAGGGATGAGATTTTGAGTATCATAAAAACAGGTAAAAGAAATACAAATATTTATTGTCACCGACGGATTTGAGTACAAAAAACAGAAAAAAAGAAAAACAAATATATACTGTCATCGGGACGGTTTTGAGTACCAAAAAAACAGGAAAAAGAAAAACATATATATACTGTCACCGGTGAGTACCAAAAAAAGAGGAAAAAGAAAAACAGATATATACATAGCCGATTTTTTGCCTATTCAAAATTGACCAACAATTACTATATATAGGATACATTTAATGATATTGGCGGAAAAAACTTGCTAATTTGTAAAAATGTTATTCTTTTTATATAATGATAGATGTAGATAAATATTATTTTTTAGGCAAAGTCACAATTAATTGCATATGTGTAGTAGAGTTGTAATTTTTTTAGAAATGTGTAGGAGAGATGAAAATTTACCTTAATTGATCGACTTAGGCCCAACCATGATAAAAATATAAAAATATAACGATGTAACCGAGGCCCAAAAAAGAAAAAAAAAAGGAAAAAAAAAACGTTGAGTAGAAGTGTTCCGCATGACGCTGGGTAATCGGGGCCTTGACTGCTACATGGCCCGCCAATGAGCTTCCTAGGCCTAAGGGGTTGGCCATCAGGTCACCGACGTTTGCATGGACTGGGAAAAAGCTCAGAGGTGGCCCTACTCCGTACGAACACCTGTTGGTCCACGTCTCCTTCAAGGTTGTTTTTAAATTTCTCCGAGGATATTCACTCGCCATAGTTGAGATTGTTTAACGCTTTTAGAACGATGTTCTCACAGACGGCGTCAAAATGGTGTGCAAAAAGGTTTCGACCCAGCATTAACAACCCAAATCTGCTTCTTGACTGGTTCGAATAACTAAACCTAGAAAACAAGCACCGAGAGATTCTCGGCATAGAAACTTCGACGCTCAAGTCAGGTCGGGTTTCTATTAGTCATCTGAGGGCCTTAGCAGGACCTGAAGGTGATCTTTTTTACTTTTGGCATCCTCGTCGACCTGAGGACTCTTACCTATAGCTCATTCAATCACCGATCGACCTATCGATTCATCCAGTTCGGTTAGCTGGTTTCTCAGGTAAAGTCGACCTGATATGCTATCTCATATCAATGTTTTTTCATGGTCAGCTGGTTTATCCGATTCGGTTAGTTGGTTTATCAAGTAAAGTCGACCTGATATGCTATCTCATCCGGTTCGGGGAGAAATTTAAATTTGGATTTGGCGTTAGCGAGTAGATTAGCGGTGGCTGAGAGGATTCTCATGGTTATCTCTGCGGAAGAAGAACGACTAATAACAAATTATGTATTTCAAGTTCCACACTCTTTTATTTTAACACTCATCCTAAATTTCTACTAGACCCAAAAAGTGCAAGCACAACCGCCCAACCCACAATTGATTGTCGGAGGCCCAACTATGCTGAAAATATAATGATGTATACGAGGCCCAAAAAAAAAAAACAAAAAATCCCCATTACTTAATATGCACATTGATTCGAATCCTAACATTGTTGTGGTACATATTTTTTTTAGGTTTTATTTTTGAAAGAGTTTTGTGTTTGTTAGAATCCTAACATTATTGTGGTACATATTTAATTGTGATTATTGATATAACACAGAGGAAAAGCTCAGTAAACCCGACGTTATATGAGCTCGGTCTGTAGACCGGTAGTAGTTTTATAGACTAGTATTGGCTCGGTGTTATATGGGTTCGGCCCAATAAGAGTGGTAGTAGCTCGGCATTGTGTGGGCTTGGTCCAATAAGAGTTGTAGTAGCTCGGCCGGCTCGACGTTATAAGAGTTCAGCATTACAGGAGCTCGGGCATGGCTCCCTAACAGTAGCTAAGATTAAGGGCTCGTTACAAGAGCAGCTCAGCACTCTGCGATAGGTGGTCCCGAAGGGACAATTACTAGCCGAGCTGAAGCGACAGTTAGGGAAAGTGATCCTTGAGGGGCACGTGGAGGATCGGGATGAAAAAGGATTGAGTAATCTGACGGATGAGGAACAAAGCGTGCAGGGAAGGCTAATGTACTCCATATAAATAGGTGAATAGGAGAAGAGGTAAGGTGAATACTCTAAAATCCTAAACACTACATACAGTTACATACAACTTTTTTTTCTATCTTTTACTGACTTGAGCGTTGGAGGTTTAACACCAAGAACACCTCCCTGCTTGCACGTGTCCGGGGAGCAAGCGGTTGATGATCAGTGGAAAGCCGGTTCAAGGTGTAGGAGCACATCAATTATAATTCGTTCAGATATTTAATAGTATTACAATTTCGCCATTAAAAATAATATAGATATAAAAAATTTTTAGTTTGTAATTTTTTTACAAAACCATTCTTCTTTTACAATAGAGATTGAGAATAATTGAAATTTGAGTCAATAAAATTTGGGTTAATTACATATAAACTAGTGTACAAGTACTCGTGAAAATATGACCCCAAAAGTATGAATTTTTATTTTTATTTTTTTCGCGAAGAAACACCTGAAAGGATGAGAGAGTTAGTATTAGGCAAATCAGACTAGTCATCCTAAAAAAAAAGCGCTTACTGGTTAGCCAAATTGATTGGTCAAACATATTTCCTAAGTGAAAGTGTACTTATTGTGAAATTTCAATATGGAGAGGCTATGGATAATACATGATCCTTGTTGTGCGAGTTTCTTTATAAATAATTCATAAGCATAAATTTTTTTCTGCAGAACATACTGAATTCTTACAAGAAGTTGCAGTTCATACATACACAAGGAAAAATTCTGGAGAACCTAGCAAAAACCACTAATACCACGAATAAATAATAAAGCACCAAAAACAGATACCCCAAACCGAAAATCAAACACCATTGCTAGTAAGGAGCTCCACAAGCTCAATCTTTTTCAGTTTTGAGTAACCCTTGATTCCATTAGACTTTGCAACTTCTTTCAATTCAGCGAGTTTCATTTTTTCAAATTTCTCTACTTCGTTGCTATCTTCTGAATTGTCTGTTGTTGGAGACCTTCGAGTGAATTGTGAAGGCGGCCTTATCGATTTAAGTTCAGTAGTTTCCTTCTCTTTCTGTGGAGAATCCTTCTGCAGGCTTACTAATTTATCCCCTTTGTTCACCGTACTTTTTCCTGCCAGGGAGCACAAAGGAACTAAGTTCAAACCAATAAAGTGACGGATTAACAATCACAATTATCTTCTTCAATTCACATGTTTAAAGGGTAACCTTGCAGTTGATACCTAAAATTTAAGAAAGTGAGGTTTACATGTTCACCAAAGCAGTGAATCATACAACTAGCGGCCAATTAGTTGCTATCATCAGCCGAAAGCAGAAAACTTATTATGAAAGCAATCACATATCCATCAAGCCGGCAAAGCTGGCTAAGATAGACTAGAAGAGACTGATCCAACCCAGCTATAAGAGGTCTTGCAATTCCTTGATTTTCATTTCATATGGTAGGATTATTTTTCTAACTTGAGCTCATAAAAGCGAACATAACTCTTATCAAATCATTGACAGCCACAATTTGACACACAGGAAACAATAACGAAATTCTCTAAGCTTACAACGGCACGAGGTAGGTGGGGTTAATAAGCAAAGAAGACGCAGGGTATGTAAAAAAGTAACCTCATTGCACTAAAAGAAAACACATTCAATAAACGAGCTGTGGTGTATTATTATTATTATTATTATTATTATTATTATTATTATTATTATTATTATTTTGGCATACTAATCAGTTGGGAAAGGGGAGTGTTACCATAGGGGTAAAACCGCAAGTTGAATGAGTCATCATGGATGCCGAGATATTTCAAGCTGCGGGCCTCACAATCGTAAAGCAGCAGTTCACCATTGGAGTCCTGAATGAGCACTTTATCATTCTTGTAGAGACCGAATATCCCAAGTAGAGCATCACAGTTAGTAGGAACCTCAAACTCATCCACCCAAGACCAATCGCCGTTCCCCCACACCCAAATCTCAAAACAAGGCTTCTTCTTCTTCTTCTTCTTCTTAAAATCGTAAACAATAGCCGCAAGTGAACCGTGAAACTCAGCAGGAACAACTCTCACATTGTCCCCGAGCTTTTCGCTTTTGGGAATAGGGATAAGAGCAGGTGGAAACTTCTCATTAGCAAAGTCAAACTGAATAATAGCGTAAGTTTCCATGGTAAGATGAAGAGCTAGCCAGTAATAGAAGCCATTTATGTGAAGAGCAAGGTTTTCAACGGGTTTGAACTCAGGATCATAAGGATACGGAATCTCCTTCCACGAACCGGTTTGGAGGGACAACACCTCGGAGCAAATTCGAGTGTCAGATCCTTCATAAACGAACATTTGAGATCTGACCACCTTGTAGTCCCCGGATGGACGAGGATCAAACCCCACACCCAAACCCCAACAGAAACTGAATATTGGGAAAGGCAGGGGAGGCCCAATTGCAGAAGAAAGAGGAAGGGGTTTCTTCTCGTCGGTCGTCGGGTCCCACAGAAGCTCGTACGAAGGTCCAGGCACTTTTTGACATGTCAACAACATCCATTTGTAGCTGGAACACGCTCGAACGATATAATCGGCGTTCATATATTCTTTATAGTAATTTTCAGCTCTGAGTAACGATAAGTTGGGAAGATTATCTTGCACCACTCGGATCGAGTTGGTTTCCATTGAGATTACGCAGTAGTCGCAGGTTGTTATGTTGAGTACTCGCACCATAAGCATGAGATTTTTGTTGGTGTTGTCATGCTGCTTCAAATTGGGGGAAAGCGCCGGCGCCGGTGCCGCAGTAGTGTTAAGGAAACGATGGAAAATAGTGGAGCTGAGATTTGTGGGGAGGAATTTGAATTGAGATTTGGCGTTAGCTAGTAGATTGGCGGTGGCTGAGAGGATTCTCATGGTTATGCCTGCGGAAGAAGAACGACTAATAACAAATTTTGTATTTCGACACTATTGTATTTCAACACTCATTCTAAATTTCTAATAGACCCAAAAAGTGCAAGCACAACAGCCCAAACCCACCCCGGCAAAAAATAAAAATAAAAAACAAAAAAATAGCCCAACCCACCCCACTGTTGCCTAACATTTAATAGATTGTCGAAGGCCCAACCATGATAAAGATAT